TAATAGCAATAATCATTCTGATAATAATAATGGATTATATTGGATTAGGTCAAAATAATATTATCATAACAGCAATAGGAACAATCAATGTTAGTTATTATATGACCAGTGGCAATGTTAGTTATGATTGATACTCATTCACAAGAGCAATAATGATCCAATAATGATCATAATTGACGAATGGATAATTATAATCTGATGATTATCACTGATATTAGTAATAATAATATTAATATTACCATAATCATTAATTATCAGTTAGTACTGTGATATCAGTAGGGATGATTCAGGATAATGATCTAGTAATCCTATAGTACTCATACTGATACGAAATACTCATTACATCTAATTACTAATACGGAACTACGCTTATTCCTGGGAACTACTACTTGTAATTATCCTATATCATAATTGGTCGAGACTGCAAGGAAATGACGAAACAATGTTTGCGACTTGCGTGGACTGGATACTAGCAAGCACTAGATGTTGGGCAACGATATCCTCCAGGCTCCTCAATCATCAAAATGCCTGTACGAATGCCCTGGGAGCAAAACATTCTCTGTAAAATAATGGTAAACCATTGGAATTTGGGTGTTATACCCATCATATTCCCATGTTTCCCCAACTTTTCCGGTACCAAACCCTTGTTTTTCTGACGTTTCAGGAGGGGACGTGCCACTGCACTGTGACGGTGTCCCCGGAGCTGGATGTCGTGGAAGCCATTGGCCTTACGCGGGCGGAGAGCTTGAAGATGGCGATTGGCCGGTGCAGCAAGCAGCATTTTCGCATCGACTTGAGAGAGCCACTGGACTTTTCCAGCGGGACACTGTTGATGGATTTATAGTGATTAATAGTGGTTAATAGTGGTTAATAGTGGTTCACCATCAAGGGAATCCACTGTTGAGGGATTATCATGGGAATATTATGGGAATATTATGACTGTTATTCCCAGAAGATTCCCATGTTTTCCCATTGTTAATTGAATCTGAATCCCTTGAAAATAAAGGATCTGAAGGGGTTGGACATGGTTGGGGATGGTTGGAGGCTGGAGGTTTTGGTCTCAAAGATGGTTGATGCCTCTAGTGGTTGCAGATGAGTTTCTGAAGAAATCTCACGCCATTTCTTCGTTGATACTATGGTTATTAACCACTTATGATACTGTTTCTTCAACCACTCAGAGTACCCAGAATTGATGAACTTCCAAGTCGCTGCTCAAAAGCGGTCGCTCGAAATGAGGAAGAAATGGATCCAACAGAAATTCGCAGAGCTGCCCTGTGCTCCGCGGGACTTTTACTTTGAGATTGTGGGTGTCGGCCACCGAAGCAATAAAACTGTGCCTTGGGCTTGACCCCCACAGACTTGGCGATGAGTGAGCAGATTTCCAGAGTTCATAAATGTTCATAATATCAGTGTTCATGGCATAACAACAATATAAAACAACTATAAACAGGCGTTGATGTGGCTTAGCCCAAAAAATGAAGTTTACCCCTCGATGGCCATTTCATAGGGGGAAATGAGGATCTGCTGCTGAATACGCCAGCCAGTTTTCTCCCAACACCGCGTGTCGCTAGGTGCTTTGGCAGGTGGCCACTTTGTCGTTTCCAAACAGGGAGATGTGCTTCCGTGGCAATCCTTGTGGGCACTGGGCTCTGGCTGTTCGATGCATGGACAGAAATGTTGCCGGAGTGAGACAAATGGGGCCTCCTCCAAATTCATACGTAGCAATTCAAAAAGGGGAAACTGAAGGTAAACCATGGGATTTCGGGGACAAACATGTTTCGAGAAAACCTCAGCGTGAAAGAATGGTCGGTTTTCATTCACTACAGTAGCGGCAACAAACACGCATGGGACCGTGTGCAACTGCAGCCTTGTGCAAACATGTACTATTATTAATTTCATACTATTTCTATCTATTTCTTGGATGGATGAATATGGGATTTGATTCGGATATTGCGGCTTCTTAAGATTGGGGACCCCCAAAACCACCGAATGTCACTTTTCTTGGGCAAGGAATTCCATGGTGTCGGGGTCCCCAACTAGTTGCGGGAGTGTGGAAGTCCTAAGGAAGCGGAGTGGCGGCGGCGAAGACGCTAGGTTTACCTCCAGTTGTGGCAGCGATTTCCTTCCAATTCATCCTCAAAATTGGGTTGTCTCAGCCTCTATTTGTTGAGACAAAACCCAAACGGATAAGGCAAGAACCGTGACAATAATGTTTTGGGCCTGGTCTGTTTGGAGATAAAAAAAATCCCTGGTCTGTTTGGGACCTCGAATTTCAGACCATTGATACATAAGGATGATAAAATATGTGATAGAAATAAGGCCAGTCGCAATTTGTGCCATCAGAGGGATATTCGGCAGATCCTCCCTCACCTTTGCCGGATGCCTTTCAGGCAGTGTTTGCAGAGGTTCTAGTTGGCCTGTATGATCCTTTGTGTATTTTATAGATGATGTTATTCAATGTTATTCGTGGCTGATAGAAACCCCAGCTTGGCACAAAATATCCAGCCCTGCGTTTTGTTTGAGCGTGGCCACACTTTCCTAGGAAGGGCTTGGCCGCTGAAAGCAGAGGATTCAGCAACTGAAGTCCGATCCAAAGCCCAAGATCGCCTGAGTTGTTCCAAGTTCATCCAAGTTCAAAAAGAAACATGCCCACAATATGGATCAATATGGTGTTTCTTTCGACTTGGGGGACCTGGAAATCATCCAAAGTTGAGATTTCTACGGGGAAACCCATGGTTTGAGGGTCCCCCATTGAAAGAAACCACCACAAAAAGGTGCGCTCTGTGGTGCAAGCGGCGTAAGCTGAAAGGCTTTTGGCCCTGAAAGTCACGAATTCGAGTTGCTTCGGCAACACTTGCGTCGAATATGATTGCAAGGATGCCCTGACAGATCTTGACAGGCAAACCTTGCTTGTCGTCTTTAGGTGCATGGCAAATGAACGACCAATGGCCAATGACCGACTTATCTATTATTATCGATTGTATGTGGAAAAAGTCAAAAGCAGCATCACTGGCAGGTTCAATCCCTCGAAGTTTGTAAATGATGCTTGGTATAGGAGAAATGTTTATCCCCAAATGTCCTGATGTCATCTCAATTCGGGCTCGTGAAGGATTACAATTTGGCAGAGCTATCGTTTCAACACGGTTCAACTATGTTCAACTATTGATTCATGCATGTAGAACAAAGAAAGAGTTGGTTCAAAGATCAACATCTCTAACTACTTTCTTAGTTCTTAGATCTGTTACAATGTTCATCAATGTTCATTTAGTTTCAACTTACCCTCCAGTAATCAAACATGGCTGGAAAATCTATGAACATCCAGCCATTTATTGAGGATGTTCCCATTAGAAACTTCCAGGGCGGGGATGTCCAAAGCAGACAGCAACACCCAGGCCGCTCTATCGACTGAGCTGCGGCCAAGGGTCCCAGGGCTCCGCCGAGACCCCAGATATCCTCAGATATGTTTTGCAGCCTTCGTTTCTTGCCCCCACTCAAAAAGATAGATGAGATTAGATTAGTAAAAATAGTGTGTATATATATATATATCCTGCAAAACATATCTACATCATACATACAATATGTGCTTAACATGGTATGTTGCTATATTATTATCATTGTTACTATATTATTATTATTATTATTTTCATATTATATATATATACACATACATACACTTATCTTGGGGCTTAGTTGGTGAACCATAACAGCTAGGATACTATCCACTCTGAAGAGTTTCCGCTCCAAGGCCTCCAGATCGCCCAGTCCCGAAGCGTCTCGGTGTCCAGGAACAGTTGGAGATCAAGTAACTGATATTAAGTGATCATGCAACATGGTTATAACATGGTTATAACCTGGTTATAACATGATTATAACATGGTTTTAACATGGTTATAACATGGTTATAACATGGTTATAACATGGTTATAACATGGTTATAACATGGTTATAACATGGTTATAACATGGTTATAACATGGTTATAACATGGTTATAACATGGTTATAACATGGTTATAACATGGTTATAACATGGTTTTAACATGGTTTTAACATGGTTTTAACATGGTTATAACATGGTTATAACATGGTTATAACATGGTTATAACATGGTTATAACATGGTTATAACATG